TTTGGTCCTTATCGAACCAAGTCTACCTTACTATCACATGTGAAGCATCCTTAGACAACATGACAGATTTGTTGTTCTGCATTTTTATTCAGAAGAGAAGTTTATAAAATTCAGACTCAAACTGGTTGGAGTAAATTAAAGTAAATATGTGTATTTATGTTTATGTTGTTTCATGATGCAGTGAACTTTATATAGTTTCCTAAAACATGCAATCAGTCAACACATGCAGTACTCTAGGCTTTCGTTTAATACATTTACAGTTGTAGACACAAATCAGAAATTCTTTTAAGGTAAGGATTACAATCAATTCTTTGCTTGTCTGTGCGACTTCCCTCATTTCACCCTCTCTCACAGACCGGCAAATGCAAACAGACACACACACACACACACACACACACACAGGTCTCAGGAGACATAGAAATGTGTTAAAGAAGGCATCACAAGTTCATTCTTTCTCCGTCAAAAAAATGTGGGGATGGCTGGAATTCATCATAGGATCAGACTGTTTCTCATCAAACCCAGGAAAGTGTAGCTAATGCAATTTCACTAAGTCACTGCCTGACTTGATTAGATGTGGGCTGGAGAGTGCATGGTTAGACACCATAGGGGTCTCGATGGGTGTCACTGTGTGTGGGAGTGTGTTTGAGCCTGTGGTGTCTGTGTAGTTAGGGCCGTTTTTTGAATTTTGGCTTTTTGTGACCTCGTATGTGTCTTTTGTGTGTAATAAAGTCATTGTATGATACATATACCTGTCTGTCACTTTATAATACATGGATATTTGTGTGCCATGCCTGCTGAGGTGCACTGGTGTTGGAAACAGAACTATAGCTCAAAGGGGATTTCAGTCCGATTTGGCTACATTAGATTTAGTGCCAGGATTTCAGTGTCTGTCCCACTGAGCACCATGCCTCCTCCACACATCCGTCTCACTAATCCTCGATCAGTCTACATCCCAAGAGACACAAATGGACATAAACACTCATGTGAGCAACACTACTGAAGCGCACAAACTCAATCACACAGGCTCTAACAAACCAAATCAAWCTTTACCAGACTTTTTGTGAGACCAAACTCCCAGCAGTTTGGTGACATTTTGACCTAAAACCTGAGCTACCCTGTCACATCTAGAAAACTCTGAAAATTSCCATGCATATTAATATGTTGGTAATTATTATTCATCAGCACCATGCCCTGTTGGCAGCTGGTCCCAGACCCAGTGGATCAGTGAGGTCTTTGCTCCGCTCCTTTGTCTGACACGGATGCAGATGTTTAGAGCATGAAATTAAATTGGTCGCTGTCATTGGGAATGCACACACGGTTGTCTGTTTGATACGTGTGTTTGTGTGTAGTTTCCAGTTGGGAAGGGGCTTGCGGAGCGAACGAGCGATGCCGACTTTTCCAGAGTGCGTGACATGTTGATGTTATTCATGGAAACTTGAGTGTTTGCAAGTCGGAGATGAACAAAAGTTTTGCCAGCTCTTTCCACGCTGCTAATCTGTGAGCGAGAAAGGGAAAAGTGGATGATATGACGAAGCTGGGAGGATGAGCAAGAAAGTGCGTTGGCGGCAGCTTTGTTTAGGAGACTGTATTGAGCCTTAATTGAATTGGCACCAAAAGAAGGATGAATGGATAGTGTGATGGAGAAAGACAAAGTTTGAGTGAGTTGGACCTCATCTTTGTCTCCTATTTGCAACATAACAGTAGGTTTATCGTGCAGGGGAAATTTCATGGCAACAGATCAGAATCAGAAACCYCTTGATTGAAAAGTATGGGGTGGAATGAAAGGTTCTCGTCATTTTAATGAAAATGCGRAGAGTGTTGTCTCCCACAAGTGTCAAATGAAACTTGTTCCATTAGAAATGTATTAAGAAGCCCAGCACAGTGAACAATGGGGCTGATATGCATTTGAATGCGAGGCTAGGCAGGCTGCACAGGTARGGCTGCACAGGCCTTCGCACTACTGCACAGACTCTTTGAATTGAAGCACATGAGCTTCGCAAGGTTATATTCATCTTGGAAATGAAACATCAGGAAACAGCAGAGTGAGGCTTTGTGCCAAACTGAAAAGCATTTCAGGCCACACGCTTGCACACACACCTTTAGTTTTTTCTAAACCACTGGATCACCTTTTTTTGTTGGATTTTTGTGTGCTTATATATGTATATATTTTTTAACTCCACTCATTCTTTATACCAGACACTAAACATTTCATATTTGCAACTACCAGACTGTGTAAAAAGAAAATGCAGTCAGTGTGGCATGGTTATTATTCATACAGAATTGTTAAATAGTAAAAGAAAGATTAGCTTATGTAAAATAAATGAAGTGTTCAAGCTTCGACTTGGTGTTGACTCTAGAAAGTTAGTTTTAAAATAATTTCTTGCTTTTTGTTTTCTCTTCAAAATGTACATATACAAAAGAAAGGTTAAAAATAATTAATGGTGCATTTACTTTAAAAAGACAGTCGTGCTGCTCTCGTGTAGTCCCGATGTTCCAATCGCGCTTGCTAACGCCTAGTGAACCACTGTGGAAACATGTGCACATGCATTCACGCGTAATATTCTTTCAAAACATTTGCACAACAGTGCATAYACACAGACTATCCTTTTCTCCCCACGTTTTGCCACATCGACAACAAGTGGCAGTTTCTTCTCTATCAATTCTATCGATTACTTCTGGACGAGTGGAGGTAATGAGCTTTGGTGTTYTTTCTCTCCCCTGTGATCTCACCTTTTCCCCTGTCTGCATCAGTCTCACCCACCTCCAGGATGTTACATGGCAATGATTTTCTGATTAACCCTGTTGGCTGTGGGGTTCACCCACTCGGTGATGAGGGGGCATAAGGGGGAGTGAGCATGTGTGATGCAATTAAAGTTGGGGTGGAGAGCCATCTTGATTATGTGATGTGTCTGTTATAGATGTAGCCTACTCCTGCAATAGTTGAGTATTTCAAATAACTTTTATACATTAATGTTACACTTAAAAAATAAAATCATTATTGGTGTGTAGTCTGAGACAAATACCAGTGCCAGTCAAAATGATCAATGACAAAATGAGTAAAACAAGCAAAAACAAAATTTCAAGTAATTCTATAGATAAACTAAATGTTGCAAATCTTGTCAAATGGAAGTAATTTGGAAAGATTTGGATAGAATAACCTATATGCCACAGACATCCGGTCCAGCACGTGATGCCACTCCGATCACTTTTCACCTGACAATGACTCAATGATCTCCACAGTACAGAATTAGCATATTACATGTACCAACATTAACACAGGAGACATACAGTTCCAACCAAGTGGRRAAAAAATCACTCCAAAGTGGATTAAAGCCATACAAACAAAGGAAAGACGTTCGTGTTTATGGTTCCAGAATTTAGCCTTTTTCGCTATTCCTTGGCTRCTTGTTCTGTGAATTTTTCATGTAGAGCTGTGACACTTATATTGTTGGAAAGAGCAGAGTCTGGGCTTTAAATTGATGGGCTACTTGTATGGTTTGGATCGTTTTCCCCGACATTAGTGAACTGAAAACGTAATGGTTATCAGGCAGAGGTTCTGCTGCTCTCGGTACTCGAGGGGAGGGGGCGCGCGCTTGCCGCTTGTGTTTTTTTTACGCTGTAATATACACTCTAGCAAGTTTTTACTTTTGCATAAAGCTCATGACAAAGTTGCCTAAAAACATTTCATACTCTGTATGACACAAACGCGCGCACACACAAACACCAACCTGTATCGACTGCTGCATTTGCTTCCTCCTAGCTGTCCTCTGGATTTGGTCTTTCCTCTCTTGTCTTGGCAGTGAATGAGATAATTGTACATCTCCCTTTTGTAACTTCCGTCTTCTCATACGGTGTGCAGCGCTGTGTCTTCTGAATGAATGAAAATGATTTAACACAGTTGTTTATACATTTAGCAGCTCTTTTTATCCCACAGCTGACCTGCTAAAAATGACAGATTTTCTTTTCTGGATCTCTGACAGACAGACTTCAATCTCTGAACTCATAAAGTTCTTCTTTTTAGTTTTCGCTGTCATTTTCATGAATGTATGAACACTTCCTTGTAGCTGAAGCAGGAAACATAGCCTTATATGGTGTTTTTGGGGTGGTAATTATGCTAATCTCCTCTCGCGTGCACGAGCAGCTGGATACGAACAGGTGGAATTTACGCAGCTCATTTACACACTTTTCCTGAAGGTAGAAGAGTTTGTTGAATCTGACGTGACATGTTCGTACGAACCCTTTGTACGAACAAAAGTAAGAGAAATTTAGGATAAGAATACGAACATGTTCTTGCATGAGGCCCAACGAATCCATCCATATATTGTCTAACACTTGTTCCAGAGTCGGGTCGTGGGAGAAGCAGCTTGAGCAGAGAAACCTCTCCTGTGAGGATTCCGAGGTGTTCCCAGGCCTGATGAGAAACCTCTCTGGCATGTCCTAGGTCTTCCCCGGGGTCTCCTCTCAGTCATACATGCCTGAAGCACCTCCCTAGGGAGGTGTCCAGGAGTTATTCTTACCAGATTAACCACCTCAACTGGCTCCTCTCAGTGTGGAGCATCAGCAGCTCTACTCTGAGTCTCTCCTAGATAACTGAACCTCTCACCCTATCTCTAAAGGAGAGTTCAGCCTCATATTTCGGCTGCCTGTGTCTGCGATCTTGTTTTTTCGGTCACTAMCCAAAATTTGTGGCCATAGACGAGGGTAGGAGTGTAGACTGATTATTAAACAGAGTTTCACCTTACAGCTCAGCTCCTTCTTCACCACAACAGACTGGTACAGAGTCCACAGGACTGCAGAAGCTGCATAGATCTATCAATCTCACACTCCATTCTTCCTCCCTTGTGAATAAAAAAAAAACAATGGATTATAAAAAAGATTTAAGAAAACTTTGCATATTTTCAGCTAAGGCTGAGGTTTCAGGTTTTATACTCAAACAAAAGCAGTTTTTAAATCAGTGTCTGCTTTGATACTTAAGTCAGATCCTGTTTCTTGTTTCTTAGGTGGTGCTGATGACAACCTGATTGAAGGAGGGGAAATGAAGTTTGTGTGTAAGCCAGGAGCGAGAAACATCACTGTGATTTTCCAGCCTCTTCTCAGGTACAGCAATAAACATTTTATTGAATTTCCAACCCCCAAAATTTGATTTGAAAGTGTTTTCAAAATGCGACTTTAGTTCATCAAGGTACCAACAACTCCAAACAGGAGAAATTGTAGTATTTCTGCTGATGCACTGGTTTCATGACTTAGAATTGAAGCACTTTATTCTTGATTTACTATAACTTAAAACAAGTGAATTAATCTTGACAGAAATGTTCTACAAAATATTAATATCTTTGTGTGGGCAAAAGCATGAGCTTTTGTTTGGTAGCCGTAACATAGAAAAAAAAATTCTGTACTGTTGAGTGGGTCAGAATAATAATTAAATAATAATAATAAATTACAAAATATTTAGCTTTTAGGAGATATTTTTAGAAAATATCGCATAAACTTTACAAAATGGGTCTGCACTTAATGCAGCTCCGTCACAAAGGACTGGTCAAGCTCCTTGAGACCGATGATGCCTGGAACATGCCGCAGTACCAGCAAAACGTCAAACTAATTAAATTATACGTCCTCTTAGTGACTTATTTATTGATTTTTAGCTTTTTCATTGTTTATTRCCGTATCATAAATCAAAGAAGATTTAAAGTGATACATTTTGAGTTTCAAATGTTTACTTATGCCATCCAAAAATTGGGATTGATTTCCCAATTTTGTTTTTATTTTATTTATTTATTTTTAGATTTGGCTATTCTAAAGGTCTGTCTTTGTTTTAACATTTCGTCTGTCTGCTAGTTTTCTATACTGTGCTGTATTCCCAGCAGAGTAGAGGAAATCTAATAGTAAAACAGTTTTATTGAATTGGTGTGCAGTCAGTGATACATTACCTTYTAGAACCCATTAAACAGGGATGTGTTTTCCACTACTCAAACTGGCATACGTACATTTTATATCCTGCTGCATATTTTTTTTAATGTATAAGAAGAGGGATAACTGCATATTTTTTTTTGTTTTCACTTTGTTACTTGCATTTGCTATAAGGTGGCAGGTTAACAGATGTGTTGGTGGTTAAAATATCCTGAATAAGTAGTCAGCTGAGATTTATAGCTTCTTGATGGCCAGCTGGGTTTTACAGTAGTTTATGAACACAAGGAAACTCGTAGAAGAAATAGAAATAAATTTAAATAAAGTGAAACATTTTTTACATGTTTAAAATATACCAACAGCTACATTATGCTCATTTGCTTATTACTGAAGAAGCAATAATGTCTTCTTTTCATTTATAACATTTAAACTGCAGGATGTTTGAATTTGAACAAGAAAAAGGCTACTGAAGCATGTTCTGCTGGAGCATTTTTACTGTGTGGATGTTTGTCTTGTTTCTGCTGTTTTGTTCTTCATTCTGCCTCASTTGCTCCCTTTCTGCTTATTCTTTGCTCTTTTCTCCTCTTTCTGACACTCAGCCCTATTAACATTGGTATGGCCACACTTTTGTCTAAATAAATGACCAAAAATAAAACGGTGACTAGCTCCCTGCCTGCTTCTCCCATGTTGTCTGTAATGGTTCATATCAATCAAAGCAAACTGCCTTGAACACAGGGCTCACTGCTCTCTTCTTCCCTCCCTTCCACCTGGGTTCTCCAGACTTCTTGTGCCAATGAAGTGCTGTTGCTTGCAGATGGTTTTATAATGGCAAAGCTCTGGCACTCCGCTGATGGATCACTACACCTCCCGTGGCAAGCCATGCCACTCATGACAGCTTTAATGACAAAAGCAGTTAGGGGTTGCAGCACAGGAAATCAGTATCAGTGCGTGGGAGATAAAACATCAAGGTCTTAATGTTTGATTGTAAGTGATTTTGTGTTGTCTTCTCAACCACTAAATGGCATTAAGTGTTGAACTTTATAGTCTTTCTGTGTTTCATTTTATAATCATAATTTTTGATTTAGAAACCTCACTTTCAGCAAAGTTTTGGTGTTTACTTCTGTTGCACTAAAGGACAAGACAAGAACATGTGAACAACACACTTTTAAGTTTAGAAAGACAACAAAAAAGGTAAATATATCGAACTGTACAGATAACACTGCCCAGATGTTCTCGTTGGATTCACTGGGGTCAGAATTGAAAGGAAGAAAAGGTCATAGTTTACCACTATACTGTGCTGGAGCATCATCAAAACATCTCAATGTGAAGGCACAAAGAGTCTGATGTTTTTCAGGATCTGTGGTGCCTAAAGACCATAGCTTTGAACCACTGTTGGATGTCTGTGAYCTTTGAGCCCTCAGGCAGCGTTCCAAGTAAAGCCGTTCTGTCACAATGATTAATATGGCCACGTTGGCTCTGGGGTACATTAGAAAACTATTGTCATTCAGCACAGTCAGCATCAACACCTTAAAATGTGACCTGCAACTATATTATGCAGAGGAAGTGCAACCCTATCTCAGATGAACTTTTTGATCAGTTGCTTATTGTCTGTGATCAGATGATTCTTTGTTACAACTTTCTTTTAGAAAAATTTACATTGGCTTGTGTATTGCATGGAAATGAGTCGGTTAAAAAATGTTTGTTTCTTCAGAATAAAACAAAACTGTTATCAAGTGATTGAGTGATATACAACAATGGTAAATAAAAGTTCAAGAATAATCAAACTATTGGTTTAGGTTTCTGCGATGTTTAATACAACTTATGGCTTTCCTGGATGTCAAATTTCAGACTCTGAAAGTTTGGGGATACTGATTATTGCTTTAGAATTATTGATAATCCATGTTATGTTACTAGGATTGGGAGCATAAAGCTAAGAAAGGCAGGGTTAGGCTTTGGGTGTCTTTTTGACTGAGCACATGCAATAAACAAGACATGTTGTAGAGGTTTCTCCATTTAGTTTAAATGTAGATGATTACTGCATTRTATTACAACTGTAAATGTTAAARTGTATCTTACCCCCTGTGAAAAGATAACTCCGCCCCAAGGCTGCGGACATGAAAGCGCCTGCTGCGAAGCAGGAGGAAAGGAGAGAGGAGAAAGTAACTTATTTCTAGCGGCAGAACAGGTTGGAAGATGGCTGTTTGATGTTATTTATTGTTTTTTAAATCAGCCTATAGGCTCTGACATGTTAGATAAATTTGAAAATGAGGTTTTTAAAATATCCGTAAGACTTGAAAAAATCCGTGAGATTGCTCTATATGTCTGTATACCTGCAAAATGACGTAATATCCTTATAACTTACAGACAATCTGTACAAGTTGCTGCCTTTCTTTCCCCCCCCCCCCTCCCGCTGTGCAGGAGGGCTGGTCTCTCTCTCTCTCTCTCTCTCTCTCTCTCTCTCTCTCTCTCTCTCTGTGTGTGTGTGTGTGTGTGTGTGTGTGTGTGTGTGTGTGTGTGTGTGTGTGTGT